ATTTAAAATATGCAGTACTGTATGAGAGCTGTTTTCAAGTTAAAGAGCAAAGAACTTGATTTTTCTTGTTGATCCTCATTTTAATAATAGTTAAATACACCTACATACATTTCTCCCATACTTTGAGTAATTTAAACAAAATAATAATAATTAGAAGATGCCTAGTTCTCAGGGTCTCCATGTACACCTTCCTGAGCCAGGCAGAATGCAGTATCTGCATAGACTTGTTTGCCCAGAAAGTAGATCCAACACAGGCATACTGAAGATTGAAAAGGGAATGATAACAGTAAAAACCAAGTGCCCCCTATGTGTGTGATGTTTGCTACACTAAGCTGGTCCCCTAAATTAAACATGCCATGTCAGGGAAGATACCACCTGAGAGGAAGAGCAGAGTACTTGTACTGCTAGATGATTTGTCCATCAGAGTCTGAGATGCTGACTGAGATTTTAGCATTTGCAGGGAGGGGTGCATAGCTCAGTGGTAGAGCCCTTGCCTAAGATGGTCAAGGTCCTGGGTTCCACCCCAGCACTGCAAACAGAATGGGGAATGGAGGGAGAAGGTGCCTACTTCATTATGATGTGAATTTTTGTGGTATTGGGGACCCAACCCAGGGCCTCACATATGCTAGGCAAGAAACAAGCATCTTTTAACAGCTCAGAAACTATAAGCACGTCAGAATTTTTCCTTTCACTTCTTTTAGACATTTTTCTCGCATTTGTGCAAGTTTGTGACTTATAAATGAGTCCATATTTTTGCATCTGTTCTGTAAATCTAAAATTATTTTAGAATAGATTKTTTTAAATAAACTATTAGGAATATTTTCCATCAACCCACTTTAAGRAAACCTAAGTAAAACTGCAGAAGGGAAATCAAGAGCATTTCTGATGACCAGTCTTATTACACAGGGTTGAAATCTCTCAGTCATGTAAACTAATGTCCATAGATTCATCTGAAATTTTTAATTTTTATTTGAAAATACAGGGAAGCAGGACATTGAATCAGGATAAATAAGCAAGTCTGAACCAAGGAAAGCGTGACCCCTGCTTTTTTGTACTCTTATTTTTCTTTTGGTGTACTAGTTCTGTCTTAAGATCTGAGACTCCAACACTGATTCTTCACATGCAGCCTGTTTCTACTTATTGCTCCCTCTGCCTCTGCCAGCCCTTCGTCTGCCTTGACAAACGTGATCATTAGATCTCTGTGGCAATGGAAATATTTAGATTGAGAAATTATGGCAATTTAAAACATTTTTGGTGTTCAGACCTGTCCTTCAAAAGCCTTATTATAAACCCATATCATTTTAACAAGTTTTATTGACAAGAAGATGTTTTGTTTAGTAACTTGTGAATCAAAATGTAGCTGCATGAGAAGTTGACCTCGGCATAGCAATGAAGTCCTCTTCTGTTTGGCTCTCTGGGGAACAGAACCAGCCAGCCTCAATCTTGGCCCCCACTCTGTGTGACCTTACGTGGGCCGTTTCATAGTTCTTAGCGCTGGCCCCTCTCCTGTTTTATGGATAGAGATATGTACTTTGCATATTAAATGAGACGATATATGTACAGTCTTCAGTGTAATGCTTGGAAAGTGATGGTGCTCAGTAGATGCTAACTGGTATTGGCAGTCATTTATACTRTTGCATATAGTATGTTTTATTCCACTTGCCTGTCTAGTCTAAAATGAATTAAATGTCCTAGTCAGTAATATATCATTGTCCTGTGAGTAACCTTTACTGTTTTTCCAGCCAGTTGTTGTTTATCACAATCCTCTTGTCCCTCTAAATACATGAAAAGTATGTAATTTCAAAATACTTTCCTAATTTATATATAGTATGTTTTGCTAGACARGTTCTTAGTGTTATTGTTTTATGAACTTAAAATTACTCCCAGATGAACCATTTATAATGAGCACTCATCTTTGTAGATTGTTGCCAATTTTACTTTTAGGAAATTTTATGTTTAGACAGTTAATAATTAAAAAAAAAACTTAAAATGGCATTATTTAAGCAAGGTGCTTTAAATATTGTCATATAGTATGTTCATTCACTTGGTATGTTAGTATTGTTCCAGGAGAAACTGGGATCCATGTGTGGAGTGTCTTGTAAGTGTAGTGTATATATATATATATATATATACACACACACATACACACACACACACACACACACACACACCCAAAGGCCTTAAAATCAGCATACTATAGTGATGCAGCCACATCAATGTTTATAGGAACTCCATTCACAATAGCTAAGCTATGGAACCAACCTAGGTGCCCTTCAACAGATAAATGGATAAAGAAAATGGGGTATATATACACAGTGGAATATTACTCAGCCACAAAGAAGAATGAAATCTTGGCATTTGCCAGTAAATGGATGGAATTGGAGACTATCATACTAAGTGAAATAAACTAGTCCCCCAAAACCAAAGACCAAATGTTTTTTCTGATATGCAGATGCTGACTTACAGTGGGAGGGGTGTTTACTAGATTGGACAGGGCAGGGAGGGGGAATGGGAATGGGAAAGACAGAATGAATTGGACATAGCTTTYCTATGTTCATATATGAATACATGATCAGTGAAACTCCACATCATGTAAAGCCACAAAAATGGATTACAGGTGTATGCTACCATGCCTGGCTGGACAATTGATTTTTGCCAACAGGGAGGAGAGAGTTCATTGGAGAAAGAATTRTCCCACCCCCTCTCCCCACCCCTGCCCCAATACTGGGGATTGAACCCAGGGCCTCACACATGCTAGGCAAGCACTCTGCCATTAAACTATATCCCCAGTCCTTTTTATTTTATTTTGAGACAGGATCTTTCTCAGTTATGGAGGCTGACCTTAAACTTCAGATCCTCCTACCTSAGCCTACTGAGTTGCTGGGATTACAGGCATGCACCACCACACCTGAGCTTAAGGGTTGTCTTTTCTAGTTGCTGGAACAATTGAATATTCATACATAACAGCAAAATGAACTCCAATCCATACCTTGCACTAGATATAAGACTTAAAATAAATGACAGTTATCAACGCAAAGCCTAAAAACATAAAATCTCTGAAAGCACACATAGGAGAAAAAATCTTGATTAGACAAAAATTTCTTAGATCCAGACACAAGTGATTCATGAAAAGATAATTTGGACTTCATCAAAATATGATAATCTTTTCTTCATTGAAAGACATTGTTAAGAGTGAAAAGAGAAGTCACAAACTGGGAGAAAATATTTGCAAATAACTTGTATACAGACTATATTAAGAACTATGAAAACTCAGTTAATTTAAAAACCCCATAAAAATGTGCATTTGAACAGACACTTCACTAAAGAAGGATATGGGTAGCTGTAAGTATGTGAATAGCAGCTCTGCGTCGTTAGCCAGAATACAAACTAAAACCACAGGGAGATACTACTGCACGCAAATTAGTGAACGTTAAGACATGCTGACAATACCAGGTACTGAGGAGGATGTGGGAAAACTGGGGTGTAATTGCACAACCACTTTGAAAAACAGTTTAGCCATTTAAAAAAAAWWTTTTTGTACTTGTAGATAAACAGAATGCCTTTATTTTATTTTTTTATTTTTATGTGGCGCTGAGGATCAAACCCAGGGCCTCACTCATGCTAGGCACACGCTCTAACACTGAGCTACAGCCCCAGCCCCACTTGAGCCATTTTTAAAAAGTTAGACACATAACATGCCGTGTGACCTTGCTGCATCACTGCTAGGTATTTGCCAAAGAAAAGGAGAAGCATGCGTCCATATGGACTTGTATACAGGTGGTTCCTGAGGCTTTATTTGCCCCAAATGGTGTCTGTCAACAAGTCAGTAAACAAATTAGGGGACATCCATATGATGGAACATTACTTACCAATAGAAGGAGCAATGAACTGTTGATATCTGCAGTGACATGAATAAATGATTATTCTGAAAGAAGCCAGAGTTTTAAAAAAAAATAGTATGTGCTTATGTTTACATAAAATTCTGGAAAAGGCAAACTATTGTATAGTGACAGGTCTAATTGCTTAGAGGGCAGTGAGAAAGGTCAGGAAGAGGAGTTCCACAGGGACATACAAATTTCAGGTCATAGGTAAGTTCAGTGTCTTAATTGTAGCAATGATTGTATGTGTTCACGCATGTGCATGGCAAAAGTTTTCAAAATTGTGTACTTAAAATATGTATAGTTCATTGAATGCTAATTATCTCATTAAAGCTAAGGAACGTTATGCAGGGCTCTGCTCTGAGAGAGCCTTGTTAAAAGGTGGATAATACGGGACCCAACTCCTCGTTCTTGTGCAAACTTCGGGCTTTAAAAGATGACTAGACACTAGATCAGTGCTTGACTCATCGTTCAATTTCTGTGACTTTTCTTGTCTTGTACTAGATTATAAACTCTCAGTGAGCAAGGTGCCATGTCTGCCATCATTTTACTCAGTCTTGAACTTGGCATGGGTATTTTAACATGAACAGGACCCCAGGGCTGGGGATGTGGCTCAGTGGTAGAGCACCTGCCTAGCATGTGTGAGGCACTGGGTTCAATCCCCAGCACCATAAACAAATCTGAACAGTATACAAAATGTTTGGATATATTTTAAATTAATACAACAGGTAACTGAATTAAGATACTGTTCAATGTGAATAAGGACTTTAAAAAGAACTGAGGAATTTGGCATCCACTAATTTGTCAGTTATGGTATTTACGTGTTTAGAATTACATGGGAAATATGTAGAATTTTTCATTGTCTTAAATAATAGTGTCTGTATGTATGAAATGGTCTCTGAAAAGTGTTTCCTATAAGCACTGTAATGTAACTGTCACCCTTAATTCTTTGACTGATTTTAGAATGCAGTTCAGTCCTTGGGAAAATTGCTTATGTCATCAGTGAGGAATGCCACCAAAATAGCTTCTCACTTAAGTTCCCATCCCCAGAGCTAACCCACAGGAGGTTCCGATAAATTCAAAGATTTAATAACTCATATTTTTCTTTCTCCTTCCACACAGGCCCTCTGGTCCTGGCGGCAGGAGCATGTGGTGGATTCTTGGCAGTCAGCGGTCTGTGGAGCTTTTGCAGGTGCAAAGGATTATATTATACTGGGAAAGACCAAAGAAGGGGAGAAAATGTGAAAATATTAACTATGCAAAAACAACGTTCTTTAGAAATTTCAGATTGCTTAGATGAAGAGAGCCTCTCTGGCTGTTTGAGAAAAGAAAGTGTCTTGGGTGGGTGGGGGGGACCCAGCTGCTCAAGGTGTCTACCTGAAAGACAACCAATTTGTTTTTGACAAATTTTTCTTTTTTCTTTTTATCTTTATTAAAGCCTTCACTCAGGCTCTTGGATTATCTTAAAGATGATTTACAAAGTCCTCTGTGGGAAGAGGCTTTCTGTGGTGCAGGGGAAGCACACAGCTGCCTGCCTGGAGCAGAGCTTCGGGCTTGAAGTGATCTTTGCAGAAGGCAGTGATTCACGGTCCGTGAGACATGTTTGACAGCAYGGTAGATTAACTAGTGTCAGGAGAGCAGAGGCCACTCCACAGCTTACCGAAGGCTAAACTGCACTTGGGTGGAAAATATGGCCATCCAAACATCTGGCCATTTCCAAGACAATAAAGCAAGGGCTGAGTGACAATATGCAGTATTGTGTTATCCATCACTCATAGGAGTTTTCCAGTGAGATTTTAATGRGAACTCAGATGCTTTAAAGAATTTAATAAGTAATGCATTTAAAAGCCTCAGAGAGAAATATATTTTGTTGTTACAAAAAAAGGGCAAATTAGAATTAACAGTTGTAATAAAATGAGGTGGAAATTTCCCAGAAAATGATGAACTGTTAGTTTAGATACAAAGCTGGTGAATTGACAAGTAGGTAGATTTAGGGTGTCGACTTTTTTGGAAAATAATTMTTTTCCAGTTTTCTTAATGGTTATTGGATTGGTTTTTTTCTTATAACTATTAGAAAAACAGAAAACATACATCTTATAGGATTCTTTATTAATATTTAAACCCATTTGACTTGTAGATTATTTTGTCTCTAGATGTGACATCAGCCCAGATTGATTATGATGGGTAATTGTTTCCACGTGACACCTGGTCATTAGCTGTGTTAAAGGAGTAGGTGGTCTTGATTCATTCCCAGAGGTCAGGGGTCTATCACCCAGCCACAAAGAACAGTGTGCATTTTTGTTGACTGCTTCCTGGGCCTGGGGACAGAGTGAGCATTATGGAAATTTAGTTACCCTGAATTAGGAAGGCTACTTCTTAATGCTAACAATAGCTTAAAACTTCATGTGTTGAAGTGAGTATGGATTCTGCGGTCACGTTCGTTAMATAAGTAATTCAAAGATCTGCTTGCAGATACTTTGATATTGCATGTCCAGGAAATTGCCATTCATTACCGTTAGTTCCTTTTTTGAATAATACTCTACACTAAGTACTCCCATTTGACAGAGGAAGGAAAGTTTAATATGTGTGCTGTGGTAGGAGCCTGCCGCCCCAGCTCAGGAGGCTCCCTTAAGGAGCCCAGAAACTCACTCCCAAGCCAGCCGAGGGCACCCGGATGAGGGGCAGGGGAGTAAGGTGCCCAGAGTCTCGCATCTGACTGACCAGGCAAACCTCTAGGTGCCCTAACTCTTGAGGGAGAATGGGGAGCCTTCCTGAGCACCAGTTCCCTTACCTGTAACTAACATGGGGACAAACACTCAAGGGATTTCCTCAGGTTGAGTGAAATTCTGTACATTGACACTTGGTGATCCATCAGACTCGACACCTGTCAGAGCTGTTACTCTTTCAGTCAGAACAAGCAACACCCAGAAAATGAAAAGCTATTGTAATGATTTTCCTTTCAATTGCATTGAAAGACTAATGTCCTGTATGCTAAAGCTACTTCACAGAAGGATAGTCTCTCACAGATTATAGATTTAGGTGAGGTTCTGATAAGTGAAGGTGTTCAGTTTGTCCAAGGCCTGCAAAAAAATCTGTTGGAAACAAATCCACATATATTAAATATGGTTTTTGTTTATATCCCTCTTTCTGTTGAAATTTTATTTGGCACGAACATTGGTCCAGAAGAACAAAGTTACTATTTTAAATCACAGCTGATAAACTCCTTTTGGAAACCACCCAGGCCGTGAGGAAGCCATAGTAAGAGCTGGTTGCCCTGTAGGTTGAGTAAGGGCTTACGCAGGCCCTGATGCCTCACCTCCAGACTCCTTACCTTACATGGCCATAAAAGCATGATGAGACTTGCCCCCGAATCAGAAATCAGAATTCTCCTTGTGTGCTTTTCCAAGTTTAAATGGGCTGAATTGTTGCCAGTGACCCGCTCTCTGCCACCCTTGGCACTCTTCCATGCTTGTTTTATAAACTGGTTGGTGCAAATATCCAGAAATGTCTCTTGAGATTGGAGGTGTTGATGGCTTGTCATGCTCAGAAATTCCCTTGGCTTCTGGTCAGGGGTTAAGCTAGGAGAAAAAGGGACTTTGCCAACTTCCTCACTTCTGGCTAACTTGTAAACATAAAGCCATATGCTATCTGAGTAATTAGGACATTTACCACTCTTGTTTTATTTGGTACTCTAATGTTTTTGATCAATTTCTTATAATAAACACCTTCTTATATTCTCTAAGAGAGAAGAGGATTKCGGGGGAGAGCGCTCTCTCAGCAGGCTTGACATTCTTATATGGGTAACAAATGACAAGGCCTGGCACAGTCTTTAAAATGCACACGAACCACACTGTGCACACTTGCTTGGAGATCACACTGCTGTAGRCAGTGCTCTGTTCCTCCCAGACTGAGCCCAGAGAGGGAAGGGGAGCAGGAAGGGCAGCAGGGCCCCCTGGGCTGGTGCTTTCCTACCACAGCCCTGCCACATCCTCAGGCAAGTTGGGTGATCACACTCCAAGCCTGTTGTAGGAAGGTGGCTCCTTTGACCACAAAGGTCAAGGTTGCGTTTATTCCTTGAGGAAGAGTGAGAGGTAGTTTTATTGTCAAAGTCTAGGTTACCCTGAATGTGGCGCTTACAAGCAGGTACCGTCTGAGGTTCAGTAGAACTACCCTAGGTGGAGCTCCTAGGAGCGCACAGGGAATGGCTTCACACGTGCTGTGAGCCCGAGAGCAGCCCATTCTTGGGTCCCGGGGAGTTATTTCCCGTCTGACATGTTAGCGTGTTCTTTGTGTTTTTTACCAGTAGCTTACAGCTCCCTTAAGTCAAATGCAGAAAATAACTACATTTTAACTGAAAGTCCACACCCTGCTGTCTACCCGTTACAACCGGCTAGTCTGCTATTTTATTTTCACAAGTTCTTTTTGCAGCTTCTCAGAAACATTGTGAGGTCTGTAAGTTGAAGCAGTCTGATGTTTGCGTATGTTCAAATTGATTTATTAATTGACTTACATAAAACATACAGTTTCCATCATGGCAGTAAAATTAGGGCCTATCAAGKCAAATGTGTTTCTGTGTTTAACTTTTCTTTCAATTACTTTTATGAAATATAAATCTCTAAGAGAATATTGGCAGGCGTCCACAGTAAAGGGTGGTAAACCTTAGCCTGTGGCCAGAGTGAGTTTGATTTGTAGTATCCAGATTATTAAATTTTCCTTGTCAAGTTTTAGTACTTTTTTGAGTTGGTTTAGGACAGTTTGTGAACATTTTCAAATAGAAAGATGAGTTTTAACCATCAGACAAATCTTACTTCRCTTATCCTACACAGGGAGCAGTTAGGTAGTGGGGAGAGCGCAGCTTTTGGAGTGAAGATATACTTTTCAGCCATTGGCAGATGGGAATGTAATACCTGGGCCTGAGGCCACCTAGGCAGCGACAGTGTGTGGTGTGTGTTTGGAGGGCTGTAGACAGGAAGCGGTACTGTGCAGATTAGTGCTCCTGTCCCTTCTTGTGCTATTTAGAGGACGAGCTGACAGGTTTTTTTTGTTTGTTTGTTTGTTTGTTTTGGTTTGGTACACTTTTGAAGCCATAATAAGAGCTGTCATACATAGTAAGTGCCTACTGTATGCACTGGGCCAGAGGAATGAAGAAGAATCACTCATCACCTCTGCCCACCTGGAGCAGAGTGCTTTGGTCACTGCTGTGCTGTGTGGTGCAGATGAGGTCTCTGAGGCAATGGAAACCAGTGGCCATTGTTGCTGCTTCTGGAGTGCCCTAAAGAGCAGGTGTCAGCTCTGCATGGTGTCCAGCCTCCACAGGCCGCTTTTCTCTCCAGGCGCCCCATACAGGGCCTGGCTCCCTCAGAAAGTGCTGTAGCCAGGGAATAAGTGATTAAGCTAAGGCCGGTCACCTGCAGAGTAGGGACTTAAGCTTCGGGTCTCCTGACCACGGAGAAGACCAGTCTCCAGGTAGGTCTGCCTGCCAGCCCTGCTGCCGGTCAGGGGAGCTGCTCTGGAGTGGGAAGCGGGGACAAGAGGGGTCTGTGGCCTTTGCTTCCTTTGCTTCTGTCTTAGGGTGTTTGTTTTGTTGTAATTTGGGATGGATGTGAAGCTTTCCTGGACTGTATTCTAATTAAAAGTATATCTGGTTCTCTAGGGCACAATGTATGCTTTAGGACTCGGTCCACAAAATTTGAAAATATCTGAGGTTTCTTAATAAGTTTCTGAATTTCAGGCAACCTTGGGATTTGGATCCAAGTAACTCACACTTTCCTAATCCTAAAGAGGCCACAGCACAGAGCAATCTAATATTCCTGTGAACTGGCACTCCCYGGCCCCAAGGCATGTGACATTCAGGGAAAACTCAAAAACAGGGTTGAACGCATGGATGGGCCACCTTGGCACACTTCTGTCATAATAAATGTTACCATAGGAAGGAGGGTCTCCATCATGGTCTTATTTAGAAAGATATTTGGCAGAGACCAGATGGCCCCCTTGTCCTCCAGCCACAGCAGTTGGGGGGKAGGTGGGTAGAGCTGTTTCTGGACCCCCTTCCCAGTGTTCAGCCCTCGTGAAGCCGCCCCTCCCCCGCCCGGATCTGGGCAGCGGAATCTTCTGAAAGCCCTTTAGGATTTTTTTTTTTTTTTTTATACACATGACAGTACAATGATCTTGACATTTCTTTAGGATTCGTTATTTCTCTCTCCTTCAGGTTTCACATGTCTTTGTACCACATGAAATAAAATATTGACATCATAGACTGTAGGGTTTTTTAAAGTCTTTTGATTTCTGTGCCCTCAGAAACAGACCTTGTTAAAATCTGTGAACAAGTTGGCCGCGGGCGGTGGCATTCAGAAAGGGAACACAAGAGAGGGGGTAGGAAGGCAGCCCGGAGCTAGAATGCCCGCTGCAGCCCGAGGACTGGAGGCTGCAGATGAGCCTGGAAGGGCAGTTGCTCCTCTCAGCATGTTACTAGAAGCCAGGGGCATACACTTAACTTGAAGGATTCAGCCATTTACACCCTAAATCTCACATGATACACAGAACTCCGTTAATTTTATATTATCCACAGAAGAAATGATAGAAGCATTTGGAGTCCGTTTAAGTGGCCAGTGGAAACATGGCCCCCGAGAATTGTTGGGGGCCGTGCACGTCCCACTATCTGTGGGTACCTGGCCGTGTCCGTCATATACAAAACCAGTTCGTTGGCTGTCCTTGGAAGGAGCCGGGTGTACCGGAGTGCGCTGTTGTGTTCCCTTAGTGGGGAAGGCGTTCACTTTTACTCTTTTAAGTGCAGTTCTCCATCACTGCAAAAGAAATGAAGCATGTGGCTTGAGATCTTGCAGGTGTGCATCCTGCTCCCGAGTGCTCGAGTGCACATCAGGATGAAGAAATGGCTTTGGCAGGGTTTTGAGGAGTTATGAAGTAACGATTATGAAATCGCCATCTGGTGCAGTCCCATCTCACTGTTTGCTGGGTTTTCTCTATACAGGTGGCTTTGCAGCTGCAGTCACCACCCCTCTGGATGTGGCAAAGACAAGAATCATGTTGGCAAAGGTAAGTAGAAAATAATGTTGTGGAGACATACCTGTTGGTGCCAGGTCTTGCAGGTATGTGAAGCAAATAAAAGCACCTGTGAATCAGGAAGTCCCAATAGCCATGGTGATCACTATGACAAATGTGTCCTGTGGCATTTCTCATCTTCTGGTCATTTTCACCTACATTGTGGAGGTAAATAGGTCTGAAGGCCTTAGCCTTGAATCTTATTTTCAAATCTGTTTTTCCTGGTGACAGGCCTAAGGCCCTGAGAGGCTGATAGCTTCATACCTTGTGGCAGCTAAGCTGTGGGCTCTGAACCTGTGCAGTGTTTTAATCAGATAAAACCCTTATCAGAGTTGCTACAAAACAAAACAAACAAAACTGTAAAAAAGAAAAATGGTTGAAAGAAGAAAAAGCTAGACAGAGTTCAAGAAATACCATACGAATAACAGATCTGGACCAAAACAGTTTTTTTTTTTAAAGTCCCATCCTTGTGAAACAGATGTGAACAGAACAGAGCTGTAGAATTTAGGTGGAGAGGACCAAACCTCAGAAAGTGGCTCAGGTTTAAGTTGAACTCGATGCTCTTTATTCAGTGTGTTTCGTAGCCAGTTGAGCAGCTTTCTTAATTACACTGTTTACTCTTGTGACCCCCGTCCTCCTCAGATCAAGTTATTTTGCTTCCAAAATAGCTGTGTGTCAGCTCTGAAAAGCCAGTCCCCTGGGGTGGCCTGGGCCACATCACTGCTTTCCTGTGAGACTGAGTATAAGCACTGTCAGGGGAGCGAGACCCAGTCCTGACTCCGGATCAGCTCTGTCCTGCATGAGGGTGGGGATGAGGCACGCATTTGAGGACATCTGGGAGTCAGCGACCTTAGGCCCAGGCAGCAGGTAATTAAGTTTTTTGTCTTTTCCTGCAGGCTGGTTCCAGTGTAGCCGGTGGCAACGTGCTTTCTGCCCTGCGTGGGGTCTGGCGGTCACAGGGGCTGGCAGGGTGAGGACAGCGCGAGTGCTCAGCTGCCTCGCTCCGCTCCACCGGCCCTTCCTATCTGCCTTCCACGGGGCGGACCTTTCCTTTCTTCTGCTTATGGTTATGTCCTGGTCCAGGTCCTGTTTTTCACATCGTACAGGATGTTCTGTTTGCTGTTGCACATGTGAAAAAATAACATGGCTCAGTCGAGTCAGTGCAGTGTCCTGGCCAGATGCTTCTCAGTCTGGTCCGTCCTGGTGTTGGATAGCATTGACTGTGGTGCTAGCAGGCCAGCATCTGGGCTGCAGCCCCCAAGAAATAAGCTCCCGGTTGCATAATGCAGAAATGCAGGAGAGCGAGGGGAACATTGTTGCAAGAAAGCATTTGTGGTTTTTGTACTTTTTACTTATTAGCAGCACATTCTAGTCATACCTCCATGGGGTCATTTCCTGTGTTGATATGCGATTTCTATCATTTGTTGTTTTGTTGGGGGGTRATTTTGTTGTGAGGCAAACATAAGTGTGCTCCAAAGATCTGAATGGCGTCGCCTGACCCCCACCCAGGCTGTGCGGCAGTCTGTCCCTCCTAGGCTGCACGCCACACTACCACCTCAGCGAGTGCTGCAGGCAGCTGTAGCGTAATAGGAAATAGCCGCATCTCCAAACATTTAAACATCAAAAAGGAGCAATAAAAATAAGAGGTGCTAGTGCTTTTCCAGCTGCATCATAATCTCCTGGGACCCCCGCCACACTCGGCCCCCACCAGCGCGGCCTTGTAGTGCATGACTGTACTTTCAAATTTCCTACGCAGTTGAGAGTCGTTGTTCTGTTTTGTTGGCCAAGCACCTCAGACTTTTTAGCTTCACATCCCAAAGAAACAGGCCCTCTCTTCAAGATGTTGTTCCAGCATTCCTTTCACAATATAAATTTATGAATCTTTATAAATATTGGGATCTTACAAATAAGTCAAAATATGACTTTCTCTTAGGAGTCCACTGCCAGGGTTCATAGACCAGGGTGTTACCTGGAACCCCAGCTACTTGGGAGACTGAGGCAGGAGGATTGCAAATTCGAGCAATTTGCAATCCTTTTGTCTCAAAATAAAAATAAGAGGGATGGGGTGTGGCTCGGTGGTAGAGCACCCCTGGGTTCAATCTCCAGGACCGAAAAAAAAAAAAAAAAAAAAGCAAAACAAAACAAAACCAAACCTAAGCAGTGCCAGAATTTATAGGCAAAGAAATGGTATCAAAAACAGGCCAAGGGGTGGTCTCTGTTCTTGAGCCCAGTTCCAGTCCTGAAAAGGTGCTGTGGCTTTCCGGCTCATCTTCTGCACACCCGTAAAGTGAGAGGCTGTAGTTAGTGTGCAGAGTGGCCTTGGGGAAGGTGCCCTAGGCAGCAGAGGTGTTCACTTAAGATGCGGATGGTTTTAATCAGCCCTGTATTAATACAATAGAAGACAACAAGAAATTTGACCAAAAAACAAATGAAAGGAAAGACACTGGCCCTGGGCATGGTCAGCCCTGAGGATGGCTGAGCCCGCTTGCTCTGTCCGGTTTCCACCCACAGCCCAGTTCGCCCAGTTCCCACCTGCCTCCCCCTGGGGTGAGCGCTGCTGCCCTCTCGTGGCGGGTTCAGGTGGTGGCCACCTTCCCTCCGTGTAGGCAGGCTTGCACAGGAGATTCTGGCATGTGTCTGGAATGTGTACCCTGGAGCAACCGTTTTCCCTAGGTGAAAGTCCTAGGTTGTGAAGCAGCAGCTGGGAGTCCTGCCTGCCGTGACCCGTCTGCTGCCTCTTCTGTTGGTCACCTGCTGTGGTTGTCCTTTATGTAATAATGGCTGAAGCTAGGAGCAGGTCTGTGATCTGTGGTCCCTGGACCACACCCTTCCCTTTGGCTGGGGTGCTTACCRTTCAGATCACTTTTAAGGCTGCAATTATGTCCTTAGATTCAGTTGTCATTTTGTGAAACCATAAACTACTTCCAAATGCCTCTGACCAGGGGCAGCAGAGCTTGTTAGTGGCAATCGCGGGACTAGATACTGGCTTAGAAACCAGGAAGATGGTGAGGGAGGAGTCAGGGGCCAGTGTGGTCTCCCATGGCTCAGTCTCCCATGCCTTTCTCCCCAGCGCCCTTCTTCTTTGCAGGGCAGGACCAGGGAGATGAGTCCATTTTCAAGCCAGGTCACAGTGGCCTCCAAAGCAATCATTCAGAGTTTCTGCCCCACCACACACCTCATGCAAAACCTATGTGCATGATGCTGAGCTGAGTGTCTTTTGATCTTCTAGTGAATTTTTATGGTTGCCTTCAGGCAATAAAGGAGGATTTCTTTTTTTAATGTGTAGTATTTTACTTAATAATTTAAACCTGGAGTTAGCTAACTAAAAAGTGCCCCCTTTTCCTCAGAGGTGTTAAATGCTGCCCCGGGGAGGCTGGTGGACCTCGCAGCCAGGGGCTGAGGGCATCCAGTAGATTCCTTCCTGTCAGCCACCAGTGGCTCATCACTGGGGTCTCCCCATATCTTCAAAATGCACAGCTGCTATTGGCACAGGAGGTTCAGCTTCCTGCCCTAGCCCCGGGTGTCGTCACTAGTCTACTAGCATAGCCGCCATTTCTGGTTTTGTTGTTTTTCCTGTGAACAAAAGTACTCCTCTTGGTAAAAGGGTCCAGAGGCTATAGAAAAATGGGCAGGGCAGTCTGTCACCTCCACAGCAAGCAGCTGTTCGCCTCCCTCCCAAGTTCTTTGGTCACCACGTGGTCACATGGACTTGTTTTTTCAATACCTACATGTAAAWATTTTGAGTGTCGCCTGTGGCCTGCCTCGTCCTATCAGCTGCCTGCAGTAGACCGCGTTTCTATGGCCGTGACCCAGGGAACCACACCAGGGTCACTGCAGCCTTTCTTTTCTCAACAGCAGTGTCACTGTGGACATACTTGAAGAAATACCTGTGTGACCAGGGGAGGTTTTAAAGAATGACCCATGGAAGGTTCCCAGGGCCAGCTCTTGTGCCTGAACTATTCACAATTGCACAGGTGGCCCAGGCCCAGGGACTGTATGCGTGATGCTGCTCCCCCGCCCCCCAAGCCTGTCACCCTTTCATGTCTGGTATTAAAAGAAAACATCCGGGATCCCTGGAGGGTCTCTGAGCACAAAGCGAGTGAGTGATGGCAAGAGCTGCCCTCCCTGAGGGTGACCGCAGAGGCCAGCCTAGCCTGGGAGTCAGCCCTAGGACTCCTTGTACAGGGGTCCCCTTCCCAGAAGAGTCTCAGAAGCTCTTCAAGAGCRCGGCTGTGGGACAGGTGCCCTGCCTTTGCCTGGTGCTCAGAGGACCCTGCCTCCCCCTGGGGTGCTCAGGGGTAAGCCGGTGTCCCGCCACGGCCGCCCACGGGCAGCTGGCCCAGCTCCCAAAGCTACTGGGGATGTCGTTGAGGGTTGTTCCAAAAAGGGCCACGCGGGGCCTGATGAGCAGGCGCTGAGCCACGCACGCCGTGGGTGGGGGTTCAGYCAGCTGGACACTCACTGTGACTGTCCTTTCCTCTAGGTTATTTGCGGGTGTCTTCCCTCGGATGGCCTCCATCAGCCTGGGAGGGTTCATCTTTCTGGGTGCCTACGACCAGACCCGCTGCCTGCTGTCGAAAGTGGGCAGAGAGGGTTCCTAGTGGATGCCACTCGCGCACGTCCACGAAGAAGCGGGAGCACRGAATCTGTGCTGAAGCCCAGAGCTGCCGTCACTGTGACCCTGAGGCCATGGTACCATGGTCAGGCCGGCTGCAGTTGTCCTCAGTGTGCCACAAAGAAGAAAGTGCGTCGTGGTGGGACTCTGAACAGACCCTCAGAACCCTTAATAAATGCGCCTGGCAGTGCCAGCGAGCTTGCGTTTGATCTGTATCTGATCTTCCATTTCCTGCCACATGATGGTTACAATTTGGAAAGAATGACAAGATGGGGGGAGGGGTTGTGCGTGTGGGTGTTTGTCCCTGGGGTCAGTCCCCGTGGTGTAAGGTTAGGGCTCTGTTCAGAAAGCACCACCCCGACCCCTGCTCAGTCTCTCTTCCTGGTAACCAGGGGCTGTGTCCAATGACCCTCAGGTGGCACCTCCAACGACACGTGATCCTAGTATTTTATAGAAGTGTCTGGTGACCCTGTGGTGTGTGAGAGGCAGCRGGCATCTGCAGCCCAGGGACTAAATGGGGGCACGCAGTCCCTCAGGAAGGCCAAGCCCTGCTCCATGGCTCTGCCTCCAGGCTGAGACGGGGCCTGGGCCAGTGCTGGGGACAGCAGGGCTTCCTTTTTCTTAGTGGGGTCGTGGCCTGCAGTTGCAAGCTCATCCCTGGAAGGCGAACAGATGAGCTGGAAAGGTCACCATACTTGGGGATTTTAGGGCTTGACTAACAAAGTCCACGTGTAGAAAAATTCAGAAGAGAAATCTTAGGAACCTAACAGTGTTGTGTCTACCCTGGAGCCACAGTACATGATCCTGCCTTGCCTAAATTTTCCCGTTTGGGGAAAAATATTAAAAGCAACTGCATTGACCAGGGAATCTCTGGAAAGGAATGAACGCGCCCAGCCATACGCTCAACACTTATAAATGAACCTTTATTAAAGGACACATCAATGCCATTTGTTAGACACTTYAATATTTTACATGTTTTCAATGTACATTGTACCAAAATTTCTATAAATAAATAACTTTGTACATAAAAGTAATACTTCCTCTTTCACATTGCCTCTCARAAGCAGCAAATTCACATATTTTGTGGAAGTAACATTTATCAGTTAACCGTTGAGGACAAAACTAAATGTGCTTACCTTCTGGAACAATGATGACCTCTGACAGGAACATCTGACACAGGTAGCCATTTGGCTAATATCTCCCTTCAGCTTTTTGGCTAAAGAAATGTACTTTGAGTTCTTTTAAGGACCTTATTTGTTTCAATGTAATTTTCAGTGAATTACACATTGGCACTCACAAGACGGTTAGCTACAGGTCTCAAAAGTGCAAACACACCCAGATCTAGGGCTAAATCTGACGAAGTCCATGCCCAGTCCCTGCTGTGTGAGGGGAGGGCGTGGACGGGCCTGCTCAGGCTCCTCAGTAGACATGAGCTAGCCCTGGAAGGTGAGAACTTGATCTTTTTTACCCCCAATGTAATATTATATTGGCAGAATTAAAACGTCACTATTGAAAAATCCACAGGTACCAACACCAGCAGCCTTTGCCTTAATAAAAAGCCTCAGCTAACAATCCGGCGACACGGACAAGACCACATTTGCTTTTAACAAAAAGTGAGCTTCAAGAAGGGAGAAAGGCCTACTGTCCTGACCCATGGCTTGTGGTGGATTAGCAACCTTCACTCCACCCCTCAAAGAAGCAAGCCTCCAGGGAAAAGCCCCTCACAGCAAAGGCACATTGCAGGAGCCACCAACGCAGGCCGAACGTGACTGCGAAGGGCACACAACACCAAGGACTCCCCGTCCTTCCAAACCCACCAGGAACCCCGGGAAACAAATGTGGCTTTTGTCTCTAAATTCCCGCCATGCACTAAGGCACCAGAACCCCCTCCAAGGAAACAGCAACCTGATAGGAAAATAATATTGTCAAAATTGTATAATTCTGTTGTTAACCATGCACTAAAGATTAAAATAGCCTCTGTCAAAGATATATAATATATAGGAAATCTCTGAAAACTCTTATGTACAACCGTATCAAATACTTTTTCTGCCTTTTGTACACAAATAGCCTCTTGCATTTCTGTGCTTCAGATGCGAGTCCTCTGCCTGGCTCGTGCTCCACACGGAAGTGACAACTTTGTACAGCTCAGCGACGCTGACCCCGGCCGCCTCCCGGCCTCCCCGCCTCTCCTTCCCGTGGACACTGGTGTGACAGGAGCTGAGGTAGACAGAGCCTAGCTTGTGGGCGCCGACAGCAATGGTCCCCTCCGTTTCCCAGGGAGCTGTCCTGTCAGTGGTGTGGACTCAGGACTGGAGTCACATGCCTGGGGGAGGTGGCCATTGGAAAGGAGCAAGTGCTGGGCTTCGCTGGGGACAGCAGGAAAGGCCAGGGAGGCCTCCGGGAGCTCCATGCTGCCTGAAGGGAAGGCAGGGCAGGGCTGCAGGGCTGCGGGGTCCGCGTCGCACAGCCTCGCTAGAGTCCAGGCGGAGCCCCCTGGGGAGAGAGAAGGCTGTCAGAGCCGCGTTCCAGCATGACCAGCGGTGGCGGCCAGTGCAGCTGCCAGGGAGGCCAGGAGGACAGTAAGGGATCACCTTTTCCATCTAGGGACACTGCCGGCTTCCTCAAGGATGTCAGCATTCTGTCGTGGTTGCTGGGGTAGAGGGACCCGTCCCCGGCCCCACTGCGAGGATGATGTGGAGAGTCTCCTTGGTCGCCCTGGCTGGGATCCTGGCCACGCAGTGCACTTGGCTGTGTGCTGTCCCTGCATGTGGGCTGAGGGTGGGGGGCCTGCTCCTTGGAGTAACT